GTCAAGCAAAACAAATGGCAAACGCACTCGTCACATCGTGCACATGGAAGGGCTTTATACAGCAAAAAGTTTCCCAGCACAATCACCAGCCAGCATGCAAAAAAACTTGTCTCACCGCTAAGGTTAAAAACAGAGGTTTTAGATACATGTCTTAGTGCGGGGGCTGCCACTGGCGGGACCCCAGTTTGGGGGGGCGGCCACTGGCGGGAACCCAGTTTGGGGGGCCGGGTTAGCTGGGGGATTCATTTAAAGTGGTATTAGAAATGAAGGTTTTGGCTTTCTATCTACAGCCTGTTGTTGTGTTTTTCTCTCCAGAATTGGGCAGTCTAACCATCACTAATCTCATGGAGAAGGTTCGCGGGCTTCAGAATTTGGCCTATCAGTTGGGGCTTGAAGAGTGTGAGTACCTGTCATGTTTGAGTGTTCTTTCGTCTCTATACAGGGGAAGGGGACAGGTAGGCAGAGTTTGGGCCACATGTTGGGCAGAATGGACTAAGTGCTGCTTGACTCCGGGCCATTGTGTGCAAAATATCCCCCAAATCTTCATATCTGCCCCCGTGTGAGGCCGGGTGCGCTCTACGGTCTTGTTTTTAGAGAAATTGTGAAACTTTATGTTCATGTAGTGTAAACATTTTTGATTGCTATTTCTGTTGGATTATAGTGTGTGTGTGTGTGTGTGTGTGTGTGTGTATTATATATAATGTATATAGTGTGTGTGTATATTCATCTTTAAAAGTTTGGACTAGCCCAAAAATATTCATATTGTCATTGCAAATGATACAATTCTTTCCCAGCCCCTTAAAATGGTGATTTATTCCCCCCCGCCCACACACACACACACACCATTTCCCTCCAACACCCCATATTTCTCTTGTATTCCCATTCATATATCTATAAATTCTGCGTGTGAAGTCGTCGTTCTGAAAACATTGAAGCAAACCGATGAATTCTCTTCTCAGTTGTCCGTTGGCAGTACTTCTTGTACCTGTATGGGGGGGGAGGGGGATACTACTGCCATCCATCGTGCAGCCAGAAGGAACTCTGCATTGGTGACTTCCTCTGTATAGGGATCACAATTTGTGGCATTTGCTTTAATTTCTGAATAAACAATATATTAAAAATGTTTTTTTTATGGCTAAAGCACGGAATGAGGAAAATTCCTCTTATTTTGCTGCTTGATCTCCGATCGGGAGACATTTCTTCTCACTTCTTGTCCTGGGGATGCGTCAGGCTGGCAGTTCTTCTGCTGACCAGAGGGGGCACCAGAGATCCATTGTTGTAATACAAACATGTTGAAG